CTCAAAAATCATATTTGATTTGGATTTAGTTGGTAATAACCTTTTCTTGTTCTCGGAAATTATTTGCCAGTCCACAAATTCCATCTTTTTAACATTCACTGGCTATTAAAATCTTTGATCCAATTACCCAGGCATTTTAGTCCTCTAGAAACAGGGAATAATGGCTAAACAGCTTTATCATGACTGAAATCATCATCAGCCTCATCAATAAGTAACATGGACTGAGTCACAGTAACCTGGGGTAGCATTGGTGTTATGCAAAATATTTAAGGATCCACACCACACAGGAACTGATCAGTCAGATCAGATAGCAGCTGTCAACAGCCTAGTGCAGCCATGCCGTGCAAACCAGCTAAAGAGTAGGCTGGGCCCGAGAGCCCCCGACTGTTACCACACTGCCAGACTCTTGCATTATATGGGTCACAGGAGTCAAGGCTGGAGGCGTGGGTAGAGGGGAAAGCCAGGACATCACCCCAACACAGTGTCGAACCAGAACCCCAAGAACTGGCTCCCAAAGAGGAGGAAAAGGGCTGCTGCTCTGAATCCAGGGTCTGTGCTCCTCTGACTATACGGGTCTGCCTCCCTTTCATTACCTGCTCCTTGAAGATTGGGGATCTCTGAGAGGTAGGACAAAGTTTTTGGTGGTGAGAGTGAGAGTGAAGTTAGTAGAGGTGGGAGAGATAGCGATGGTGGTGGATGGGGTGGTGGATGGGGGGGGGGGGGGGGGGTGGTGGTGGTAGAGATGGAGGTGGTGGTGGTGGTGGTGCAGAGGAGGTGGAGGTGGTGATGGAGGTGAGGGTAGTGGAGGTGGAAATGGAAGTGGAGGTGTTGTTCTCTTGATAGAAATGTGGCAATAAGATGTGCTTTATTAAGAAGGAACGAATCCAAGGAAAAAGTAGAGAATGCATTCACCTGTGTGGAAATCTACATGATGTGAGTGGCAGTCTACTGAAGAGCCAGTGAGTTCAGGTAAAAGAAGAAACAGAAATGATTTTGTCATGAGAGTAAACTGGACAACACTCAGACAGAAAGTGATTTATTTAGAAGACATGGAAAGCCCACTTTGTTGAAAGCAGCTCTGAGATGTGTTCTTGGCTTGTTTTGATGGTCAAGAAGGCAGTGAACTCATAATGTCACCTCTTAGTTCTGCTCCTGCTCTGGGCGGGCCCAGCTCCTGAGGGCCAAGGGCTGCCTGGCAGCTCCCCTCTTGGCCAGCTCACACCTAGATAACCTTTCTCATTGCTTGACTTCATCCTCATGCAGAGGTGGACAGCTGGGCAGACATGGAGGCCAATGGTCATGGGCTTCATAGCCTCCTCCCTCCCCTGACCTGGCCAGGGCTGCACAAGAAGCAGAAGGTCAGTAGTTCACAAGTCAGTAGTTCACAAAGTATAGGCTTGGATTTACACTTTTTTTTTTAGGAAGATTAGCCCTTAGCAAACATCTGCTGCCAATCCTTCTCTTTTTGCTGAGGAAGACTGGCCCTGAGCTAACATCCATGCCCATCTTCCTCTACTTTATACGTGGGACGCCCACCACAGCATGGCATTTGCCAAGCGGTGCCATGTCCACACCCTGGATCCGAACCAGCAACCCCCAGGCTGCCGAGAAGCGGAACATGCGAACTTAACCCCTGCACCAGGCTGGCCCCAGGATTTACACATTTTTACAGGCCCCAAACTCCTCCTTCCAGGGCAGCCTCACAGTGCAGCCCTGGGCCCTCTGGAGCCCCACACTTCCTGGCATCTCCATCAGGAGGGTCTGGGCACAGGCGGGTGGTCTGATGGGCAGCTCCCTGCAGGTCCTTCCTCAGTGGCTGGAGCATGAAGTATGCTGGACACCACTTTTGGAGCCAGAGAGCCCCCTCCCAGGATGTGTCACCAGGCAGACATGTCTGTGAAGCAGCCCCATGGGCGTTCTACTGGGTTTTTCTTATTGTCAAGTTGTGAAATAATGTATATATATATTAGTCTCTGCCCCCAGTGCCTCCTAATATTTGGTCTTTGAGCCTGGATTCCAGCACAGAGCTCCTAAAACCCTTGGAATTTCCTGGGTGATAAGAGGATAGGTGTTCTAATGAGGTGATTCTTCCTGGGCTTCTGGATGGGAGCTGGTCACCGGAAACACCAAACCGTTATTAGAAGCTTAGAACTTTCAGCCCCAACCACCCTCCTCCAGAGAGGGGAGAGGAGCTGGAAAATGAGTTAATAATCAATCACGGCTTTGTGATGAAGCCTCCATAAAAGTTCCAAAAACATGGCATTTGGAGAGTTTCCAAGTTGGTGACACGTCTATGTGCCAGGAGGGTGAGGCACCCCAACTCTCACAGAAATAGAAGCTCGTGGGCCAGCATCCTTCCAGACCTCACCCTGCGAATCTCTTCACATAGTTGTTTATGTGTATCCTTGATCATATCCTTTATAACAAATTGGCAATATTAAGTAAACTGTTTTGGGGGTTCTGTGAGCCACTCTAGCAAATATTTGAACCTGAAGTGGGGTCAGAGGAACCTCCAATTTGTAGCCAAGTTGGATAGACGTTATGGGTGGCCTGGGGACCTACTACTTCTGATTGGTGTCTAAAGTGGAGCGCAGTCTTGTGGGGCTGAGCCCTTAAGCAGCACGGTCTACTCTAGCTCCAGGCAGTTATGTCAGAATTGCTTGGTGTGTCAGAAGTGTTGTGGGTGTGAGAGTGAAGAAACACAGTGAGCCGTTCCTGGACACGAGGCTACCTATTTATGAACACAGTATGAACGTGACCATACTCATGTATATTTTGTTGTGTTATTTACTCCACATCATCTTACCCACCAACAGCAAGTGCCCTCCCGCACGGACCCAGTCTAGGAATCTCAGCAGATCCACTCGGCTCTCTCTGCCTCTGGGCCTCAGCTGCCGGCTCAGAGGGACAGCCCAGTCCCTGGTGCCTTCACTTCATCTCCTAACACTGCCAGCCATTTCTGCCTTCCCCTGGGGGTGAAGGCTGGGCTTGACACAGTCTCCCTTACACCCACCACAGCGGGAGTTCCAACAGCTCCAACACCCAGTCAGGGTGTCCCACGGCTGCCCAGGGAATGACCTGGAAGGGCAGGGAAATTAATGCCTCATGGGGTGAACTTTTACCAGCGAGGGTAAGAGACAAGAAGGAGCTGACAGATGAATTCCTTGCCCTTTCAACCACACATACATACAGTTTCAAGGAAAGATGTTCCATGAATTTTTTCTGGAAACAACCCATGTGCCTGAAGAAACAGGCCCTGCTTCTTGCGAGAGGGGCAGCTCGGTAAGACATCCTCCGGAATTCACCTTCCCCTCTGACCGCCTCACTCTCGCTGTCCTGGGATGGCACCCCTGCCCGTCCTCTCAGACCGTGTTAGCATGTGAATTTGCCTCAGGCTCTGTTTTCTAAAGTAACTGGAAAGACAGCTACCTAAAATCATCTCCCTCACTTCCAGTGGTATAGGTAACAACTTTAGGGAAAAATGAAATTAGAAGGTAACTGCCTGGGCAAGAGATATAAAGGCTGCATTTGGGAAGAGACGTTACAATAGAAAAAGATGGTGGTAGATGAGAGCACTATTGTGGGGCTGGCATTGGCACACCTTGGACACTGAGTGGATGGGGATGGGGGGAGGAGCCAAGAGAGCTGAGTTTGGGAACACAGCCTGAGAGGCATTAGAGACATTAATAGAAATAGAGGAGAAGTTGGGAGTGAGCATGGACTTTAGGGAAGACAGACTTGGATTCTGGTCCAGGTTCTGCCATTTACTAGCTGTGTGACCTGGGACATGTTACTTGCCATCTCTTGGCCTCATTTCTTCATCCCTAAGGTTGAGTCAATGATGATCCCTACCCTATTCAAGAGAATGAAGTGAAATAGTACTCAGCACAGAGCGTGGGCCATAGCAGGAGCTTGATAAACAAACATGTGCTGTTATCTTTGTTGCCTTGGCCCAGCCACTGGGTCTCCTCCACTGCACAGGGTGGCTAAGACTGAATCCCAGTCTGCCCGCCCAGGGGTAGACAGAGGGCCCCCAGCTCTTCCTGGGGATCACTGGCTGATGAAATAAAAGATGTAGAAAGCCCCCAGGTCTATGGAGGAAGTGTCCTCAGAGCCCTCCCAACGCTGGTCCCTGACCAGCAGGGCCCCTCAGTGTGGGGAGAGTAGGTGGGGGGACATTCTCGCGGCTCCTCCTGGGGCACTTCTCTGACTGTGGTCCGTGCGACCCCACAATAGAATGTCCTGGGGAACCTGCTGGCAATGCAGATTCCCAGCCTCCCCTTGACCAGCAAATCAGACTCTGACCTTGAATGTGCCCCACAGTCATTCTGCTGCCTGGTAACACCTGAAAGCTATGGTCAAGGCGCTGGACTGGGGGACCAGGGTCAGGTGTGACTTCTTCCCTCTAAATGTGCGGAGGCTGAAAGGATCTCGGTTCAGGAGGGTTCTCCTTCCCCCAGGAGCCTGAGCAGGAGCATCTTTGCCTGTCCACCCCCGCTCCAACCCATAATCCCTCTCTCCAATCTCTCCCAGGGTCTCTTACCTCTCTCTCTGTCTCTCTCTCCACCTCTATCTTCCTGTCTCTCTGATTCTCTTTATCTCTAGTGTCTCCCTGTCTCTGTCCTTCGCACTCTCTCCTGTGTGTGTGTGTGTCTCTGTCTCTCTCTCTCTGTCTCTTGATTTCTCTTTGCCCCCCACTCCTGTTGTTCCCTTTTTCTGTCTCTCTTTGTCTCTCTCTGACTGTCTGTTCTCCTATCTCTCTCCCTATGTCTCTGTCTCTGTCTTTTTCTGTCTCTCTGTCCCTCTATTTTTCTCATTCTCTGTCTCATTTTCTCTGTCTTTCCTCTCTCTACGTATCTCTCTTTCTGCCTTTCTGTGGCCCTTTTTTCCTCTCTCTGGCCCTGTGTCTCTCTCTATCTCTCTCTGTCCCTGCGTCCTTTTGTCTCTCTGGTTCTCTCTCTGTCCCCTGTTTCTCTCTCTGTTTCTTTCCCTGTCTTCTCCCTCCCTGGAGGCCTCCAGGCTGGTGGCCCAGAACAGATGGTTGTCAGGCCTTGGCCAGAGGCCCGTGTCATCACAGAGGCCCCTCCCTCAGTGGAGGCTTTTTAGCGACCACCTGGGGAGTGCAAACTGTCCTGCCACAAACAGGTCACTGTCACCAGTGTGATCCAGGGCCTGGCCCAGCCCTGGGCCCAGCCTGTCTTGAGTAACCCTGTCAGAGGCCAAGCTCCCTGTTTTGCTTGCGCAATAGCCACTCCGGGGGCCAGAGGCCTGGCCTCAAGAGAACTTGATGGGGGAAGCCTTGCGCCCAGAGGCTTTGCCCCTCACTGAGGGCACAATCAAGCCCTCCAACCAGGCCCCTCCTCTACCAGGAGCCAGGGGAGAAGGAACCAGGTTGGTTGAAGTACCCTGATGCCCCTGCCTGATTGCTCCCAGACCTGTGGGGGCGGGGTAGGAGCGGCCTGTGTGCTGACGTGAGGCCAGCCCTGCCTGCCTCAGTCTGCAGAGAGCCAAGTTTCTGCCCAGAAGCCAGGGCACCCCACGCCCCTGTGTCCGCCCTGTGCCCCACCGTTCCCTTCCCTCTTCCCTGGAACAGATCTCAAGGCAGCCGAGGAAAACTCTGCACTGGAGGGGTAGGGAGCTGATGCCACCAGACCCCGCACCTGCCGTGTGCCACGCAGGGGCAGCTGCTGGGATCAGAATGCCGCGTCAGGCGGGAATTGACACACCCACTGTTCACACAAGGAAACCAAGGCCCAGAGAAGTGATGTGACTCCTCCAAGGTCCCACAGCACCAGTGGGGGCCCCAAAGTGGCCTTGTTGCGTGCACACACACGTGCACGCACGCACACACATGGAAGTGCCTTCAAGGAACACCTGTCATGGCAGGAAGTAGGCTGCTCTAGGGACACAGACAAATGGCACAGTCCCAGCAGCAGAGCTCGCACACGAACACAGCCCAGTGCGCACGCCACCAGCCTAACGACCCTGAGATCTCACAGTGAGGGGCACATATGGGGCTGTTTCTGTCCTTGCTCCTCCCATCTAATGTACAGACGCCCTGAGAATGAAAGCAGCCGTGGTTGCACATCTGTGGTCATGTCCCAGGTTCAGAGACAGGCCTGGCCCCACTTGTGAACAGCCACTCCCGCGTGCGGGTCGTGTGCTGAAGCCACATTCTGCGTCACTCATTTTTGCCTTCTCCCCTGGCCAGTGGGCATGATTGCTGCTGGGTTACAGATGAGGGGACTTGCCTGGCAACTCTGGGACTTGAACTCCCTGGTTCCTGGGTAGCCTTTTTAGGATGAAAATAAAAACACCCATCAGGGGCTCCCCCAGACCCAGGAAAACAAAAGGGAAGATCAAGCCCAGGGGAGGCAGGAGAGGCTCTGCTGGACTGAACGGGCCAGAGGATGTCCAGGTGCCAGAGGAGACCAGAGCGGGAAGGAAGGCCTGAGTCAGGCGGTTTTTGAGCTTCCAGGAGGCCCCCCCGCAGTGCAGCAGCTCAAAGGCAGCTGAGCCTGGGAGCTCTCCCCGGCCCTGCCCTTCCCTGTCCCCAGCCCCCTCCCTCCCTCCTGGCTGGAGGGAGGACATGATGGCAGGATGCAGTGGGAGAAGGCCCGGCTCATGTTTCCCCCCTCTTTTCCTGGCAGAGATTACATGGTGAGCAAGGAGGACAGCTGAGCTGGCAGGTGGGTGGCCTGGCCATGCGGAGGGGAAAGCCAGGGAGGGAGGACGGCTGAGGTAAGTCGGGCCTAGAGCAGCCGCTCTCCTTGCACATGCCCCCTTCCCGGCCACTCTGGGGCTCTGTGTGCCGGGGGTGCTGAGCCACTGGACTCAGCCCTGCACCTGGGCACCTGCTCTCCCATTCCCCCAAACTCTGTTCTCCAGGGTAGGCAAAGCCAAGCCAAAGAGGTTTCTCAACAGACAGACAGACTGACTTCAGAGAATAGAAGACCCACAAGTTTGTAGGAAGCAGCAGGACTCAAGTAAGTGAGAGCTGTGAAACACTAGAATCTCTAGTTAGTACCGCCACCCCCACGCAGCCCCCACCATTCGCCCCATTCCACAGCTCTGCAGCTGTTAGAAGGCATCTGTCTGGCAAACTACAGGACTACTTCATCCCAGCTGAGCCCCTCTCCCCGCGTTGTCACGAGAGCCCTTGCTGCGTGGGCCACCTACCTACCCATTTGGGAATACTCCAGCCTTGAGACAGACGTTATCAATCAATGGTCCTCAGAGATTCATCAAAATAGTTAGGGAATAGTTTGGTGGCATCAAACAGTGGGAACTGGATGTGGATCCAGAAAGCGTCAGGAAGGATGTATCAGTGGAAAACTGCGCATCCTGGGTGCCAGAGGTGCCTGGGACTAGGGCTCGTGGGGCCCTGGGTGAAGCCCTAACAGACGGGAGGTGAAGCTGATCTCTCCTCCTGGGGCTCTTCTAGGTCTTCACAAGCCCCCACCTCCAAGAGGAGATCCTGGAACCAGAAAACCACAGCAAAGTTGGACATTGAACTGGCTGTGTGAATGCCTGCAGAACTGGCCTGAGGCTGCTTGGTGCATCCTGGCAGAGAGAGTCCAGGCCAGGAATCTTCCAGGAGGACCCTGGATCTGGTGCAGCCACCAAAGGATGCTCCAATTCTATGTCCAACAGACATGACCTGGCATTAAATTCCAACAGCTGTGCATACCCCTGCAACTTCCTTCTCACTAGACACTGTAGGAATGTAAAGACTTTGTGGTTTCTATCCACACACACCTTCAGGCAAGCAGTCGAGAAGTCAACTGTCAAATAGCCTGCTTTTCAATTGTCCTTGGCCTGTCTGCTTCAAGCTCTCATTCGGATGCTCTGTGTTAGCAAGAAAATTCAACCTAACCCTGCTCTTCATGTTTTATTCATATTGAACAGGTGCCCTCTCTGAGCTGAAATTCCTCATCTCTAAAATACAGTTAACTACCTCAAAAGGTTGTTGGGATGATTAAGACCAGCAAAGCACCTAGCACAGGGTCCAGCATGGAGAGGGTACCCAATGCTTATGTCCCCCCACACTTCTTCTTTCTTTCTTTCCATTTCTCTTTCTTTCTTTCTTCTTCTTTCTTTCTTTTTCTTTTTCTTTCTTTCTTTCTTTCTTTCTTTCTTTCCTTCTCTCTCTCTCTCTTTCTTTCTTTCTCTCTTTCTTTCTTTCTCTCTCTTTCTTTCTTTCTCTCTTTCTTTCTTTCTCTCTCTCTTCCTTCCTTCCTTCCTTTCTCTCTCTCTCTTTCTTTCTATTGAGTCTTCCCCAAAAGAAAAGTCTAAGCATCTTAGCTGACTTTCCTTTAGCCCCTCTCTTCTCCATCAGCCATATTCTTTCTGTTGCTCCTTTCAGGACCCTCTTCAATCTCACTGTTTCTTTCATAAATAGATACGCACGCTGTTTTCTAGGTCTACTGGGAGAGAGAGTCTCGTTCATCTCTATGTCCCCACAACACCACACACAAGGCCTGGAACACAGTGTCTGGTTCTAGATGTAATGAAGGAATTGGTAATTGTATGGGGATAGGGAATGAATGGATGAATAAATGAATGAGTGGGTGGAAGGAACATGTTAGATGGAAGGGATAGAGGGATGAGGTTGGCACATGAATTGAGGAGTGATGTCCAGGTAGAGATTGAGGGATGGGTGAACAAATAGGTAAGTGAGATGGGTGGATGAGAATGTGAATGGATGAGCGGATAGATGGACATAAAAGAGTACGTGAAAGGATGGATTGGTAGACAGATAAACAGATGGACAGAGGCCCATGCCATGGCAGGCTTTGGACTGGGAAGGGAGGTGCAAGGAATTCACTTCCATGCTTTCATCCCCAATCAGTGTTTTTCCTCTGTCTCCCACTGCTCTCAAAACATAAAGATGTGGTGGGGGATGAAGGGAGTGGCTGACAGCAGCAGGGGCCAGGTGCTACCTTCATTCTGGCTTTGCCGAGCCCTCATTTAGTGAGTGCGTCACAAAGCTCAGAGTCACAGGATTGGGGAAGGGGCTGAGAGCACGCTTGCCCCCTGGGCCATCCCCCCGGAGTCTCACCCTTGGAAGATGCTATACAGAAGGGGAACTGACTGTACTAGCAGAGATTTGACTGTCCTCATGCTCAACATCAAAGGCTGGAAACCTGCCAATTTCACTTCCCCCTCTGCCTCTCCCACAGGGCAAGCTTGCGTGCTGGCCACACAGAGGTTCAGCTGGGAGGTGCTTGTGTGTTGCCCTCACTAAGTCAAGAGCTCTTGAGAGCAGCAACTGTGTCATCCTCACTACCTCATTCTAGTGTTAGAGTTCCTGACACAGAGTTGGCACAGAAAAAATGTTTGTGGGTTAAATAACAAGGATAATGAGTCTTAGACCCAACTGCCTGTCATTTGGAGAAAAGTGGAATGCGTTGGAAGCCAATAGTAGAACTTGATCCAGGACAGTGAGTTTGAATCCCAGCTCCACCACTTCCCAACTGTGGGGTCTTGCCCAAGTGCCTGAACCTCTCTAAATCTCCATTTCCTCATCCGTGAAATCAGAATAACAGTTGATAACACTCAACTATCTCCTGAGGCTGCAAGGATCACATTGGGAATTGGCTTCTAATCTGGTCCTTTTGAGAACCCCCCACCCCAGGAGTCTTGATAGTCAAGCCCCAAAGCTGAACATCCCTCCTGTCCAAACTGCTCACCCGGAGGGCAGAGTGGGACCTCCCCTGTGGGGAGGGGACTGAAGACCACAGGAGGGGAAGATACTCCACTTCCACGTTTCTATAACTGGGGCTGTGCATAATCACCCTGACCTCAATCTTTCTCTGTGAATTATGGAAAGAGAGTTCTCCAAAAATGAGGCATGTGCAAAAGTCCCACCAGGCTCCCTGCCCTCCCCTCATTTCATCCTTGCCGACTTAATAAGGACCATGGCTTATTAGCTGTTCCCTTCTAGCTCGCCTTGTCCTGTGCCTGCACACGTGAGACTAAAAATACCCGTGGCTCCTGTTAGAGGCTCTGGCCCAGGGATGGGCAAGCCTGGAGTCTTCACTGACACTAAAAACTGGCTCTCCTGTGCCCCCTGGGATCCAGGCCACTGGGCCTGTCCTGCTTGGGGCAGGTGGGCACCAACCTCCTCCCAACTCCTCCCAGGGGTCTACAATAATGATCAAAGGCTATTCTGACTTCATTTGTATTTTCAATCAGATACTCCAAAGCCGTTTTCTATGGCCCTCCCACCACCTCATTAGACAACCTCACACCACCCAGGAGAGAGATCTCTCCCAGGGGATGTGTGTTACCTGGAGCACTGGCCTGGGCCCTGCAGGTAGCCATTCCAAATCTCAGCCTGTGCCTGGAAAAGACATCTGTGCCCTTTTCACTAAAACATGCAGAATGGCAAGTGCATTAGGCTTGGTGCCAGCACGGGCCCGTCCAGAAGCCAGTGCTGACTCACTGGGAAAACTGCGTGAGCTGATTTCTTGATCTTCTATCTCTTTGTCGATAAAATGGGCCTAAAGGCATCAGCCCCGTTTGGGGCTATGGCAATGATGTCACGAATTCATGGAAGTAAAAATGCAGAACTCTGTCCAGAAGTAGGTGACTTGCCATGGAACGAACTCTGAAGCATGAAGTGGGTGCAAGGACTCCTTGTTTCCATCGCAGAGAGAGGCGGCTCGAGGAATATGCAGGGGCATTTCAATAGCTCGGCAATAAACACTTGGCAAAGCCAAAGAGGTAATCTCTTCATGGGCTTTCGTGTGCCACTGGATACCTCTCTTGGCATGGCCCGAGATATTTTGGAAGTGGTGGTGAGAGACAAATTGATTTTCATCATCTCCATCTGCAGGAAAAGGCCAAGAATGCCACGGAGTATAAAGACTCCAAAATTTGGACCACTTGGAATTAGGAATGTAGCGCTTCACACATTTGCACATCATTATATGCAAGAAGACAGGGTTTTAATAAGCCATGGACAGAAAAATAGGGGAAAGCAACGAAGGTGTCATGGACAGAAATACTGAAACAGGGAACAGCTGGTGGGCCAATCAGGGAAAGGCATCCCAGAAAGCTGAGAACGGAAACTGTGTTTAACGGAAGGAGTCATGGCTTATGGCTCCTGGTTGGGGTGGGGGTGGAGGCGGCGGCACGGGACTGAGAGGATTGTCAGAACCAAGCTCTCCCCAAATTCATGCTCCAGATGGTTCTGGCAGCAGCGGGGGAAGGTGCCTTCAGAGCTGCTTGTCCTCACTTAACCTCCTTCTCCTCCATTCCCTGAAGGTCTGCGAGAAAAAGGCAGAAGAGCAAATGCTGCGAATCTCTGGAAAGCGGTTAGCCCTCCAGGCTAATGGGAGAAGTCTTGACTGGCTGGGAGCCTTCATTCTGTCCAATTTGATTCAAACACTCGTTGGGCACCTGTGTGCAATGCGCATAGGAGGCACAGTGTGTGGGGGGAGGAGGGGGAATTTGGGAGCAAGGCAGACCATGACCTGGCCCTCGCAGAGCTTAACATGGTCTGAGGTATGGCGGTGACTTCACCACACACTTTGCTATGAGACAGAAAAGATCTGAGGTAGATTGGGAGAGCATTCTTTTTTCAAACTAATATTTAAATGTGTGTGCCATTCCAGCAGGAAAAAGGAACTAAGGATACAAATCCAAAAAAACACACCCACACACATATATACACACACACGCACACGTAAATTTATGTAAAAACTATTGTTCAATCTCAGTGGTAGTGAAAAATGAAAATTAGGAAGAGTTACCATGTATCAATAATATAATGGCAAAGGTTTGGGTGATGATAATATACAATGCTTGTGATGGTATGCAGGAGGGGGGTTCACATATACAGCTAGTGAGATTGTAAATAGGCCCGATCTTTCTGGAAAGTAATTTGACTATATATATCTCAAGCCTTAAAATAGTCACAACCTTTGACTCAGTAATTCCACTTCCAGGGATCTATTCTAAGGAAATAACCAGATACGTGGTCAAAGGTATAAGTGCACAGATGTTTATCGTCACATTATTTATAAAAGTGGAAAATGCAAAACAAACCAAAAGTCCAACAACAAGAAAATGGAAAAATGGATTATGGCACGTCGATATAATGGGTGATGAGGCAGCCTTTTAAATTGGGTTTTAAAGTGTTTTTAGTAAACTATTTGTTATGTGTTGAGTGGGAAAAAAAAACTCATGATACCAAACTGTATATGGTGTGATCTCAATTATATTTTTTAAATGTATATGTTTGTATATACACATATACACATTTATTGTATATGTTGTAGCAATAATGGAAGGAAATGCTAAATAACAGAATGTTTAAAAGTAATTAGCTGATGGGATTCAGGTGGTTTTATTTTCTTCTTTATATAGCTTTTGCATTTTCTAGATTTTCAATAATGAGCATGAGTTTGGCAGAGCGACTTGTTTCATGGACAGCCTATGGAGCCCCATGGCCCCACTCAGCCAGAGTGGTCACCTGTGGCTGAGGACTGAGCTGGGGTCTGCTGTCCAGCTGGCGTGGAGGCCCTGTGTCTCACAGCTTTCTCCGACAAGCACCTGGCACCTGCCTGTGCTCTCGCTCCAAGCCCAGCTCCCCACCTCATCTAGGCCCCCCACCCCACACTCGCAGTGGCTCCTTTTCTCACACAGCACAGGTGTGGTGTTTAACTACCCTTTCATACCATCACTGCCCTTGCCTGGCACCCTCTGCAGAAGGCTGGTCTCCAGTGGCAATGGTTTTGATCGTGCCCATGGTAACCACCAGTCCTGCCCTCATGACCAGTCCTTGGTGTCCAGTTCCCACTAATAATGACAGGCATTGCTGTTCAGGTGGGCAGCAAGAAGAAGTGACAGCAATAACAAAGACTCAG